CCCCCCCCCTCTCTCTCTCTCTCTCGCACACACGCCATGTGCTCTTTTATTTTACTGTCTTAAACTTTCAGTTTAGACGATCTATAATTTGCGGCGGAATTCAAAATAGAAAGTGTGCTGTTTATAATTTTATCTACCGGGTATTTTTTAATATGCATGTGCATTATTTTAATTTTTTGAATGTTTATTGTACTAGACGACGTATGCAAAATTCTAATGCCTGTTTCCACCAATGCAGATTAACTTTTTAATCTCGCGGTTTAACTTACTGTTCATCTTTTTCTAATTCTCTAATTTTTAGAATTAGAAAAAGATGAAGTGCAAATTGAACCGAGATTATAAAGTTAATCTGCATTGGTGGAAATGGACATAAATGATTTATAAATTGTAATTAGGATTATATCTTGAATTCTGACACGAACTGTAGCTGATCGTTAAGAAAAGATTTCATTTTGACGTATAAAGAAATTAATTAAATATATGTAACATATACGCTATAACTTTATTAAATTTTTTCATTGATTAATTTCGTTAATAATTATATATCAGGGAAAGATTAATGAAAATTTAATTTACAGTATCTAGTTAAATAATTGTGTATTATTGTAAATTCATAAATGCGAAAAGTAAAGAACGAAAGTGACAGGTTTGAAAGTAAATATTTATTTCAAACAAAATCTCCGATATAAAATTTAATATGTTAAATTGTATACAAGTTTCTTGTAATTTATTCATTTTAATTCATATTTTTAGACTACTGCAATTTTAAGAATACAATTTAAGAAATTTTAAACAATATTCATATTCGTTATTAATTACATTGTAATATATAGTTTTTATAACTTTCTAATTTGACATTTTTTTTCTTTCCACCCGACTTAAAATATCTGCTCGACTTTATTTGTTTTCTATCTGTCCTGCAATGAATCGGATTGGAAAGATATATAATATTTACTTATATTCGCAAAAAAAAAAAAGAAAAACAAGCCACTGTAACGTTACAGTTTATACTATTTGTAACGTGATGTGTTCTTTTCGGATGAAAATATTTATGAAGTGAAAAGTCACGTTTACATTTCTCGTAACTATTTACGCCTATAGATTAATTTGCCACAAAATGAGAGAACTAATTCCTTTTAATCTTTGATTGGCAACTACCGAGTTACCCATTTTTAAGAAATTGTTCAGAACGATTTTATCAAAAGCTTCATATGTACAGATACACAGAAATCGAAATTCGAGTTAACTAAAAAAGTGATAAGAAATCTTGATGGAGGGAACCAGTTTTTTAACATCTTTCGTCCGATCATGCCGGTTCTCTGTGTCGTCTCTCCTGTCTCCTGCTCATCTCTTTGGTGTTTCCCTTCTCTTCCATTCCTCATATCTCGTCGACAATTGAATTTTACTTCCGTGTCCTAAATCCGCACGTCATGCGCGTGCATCGTTATTCTGCTAGATATTAATTTAAATTATTGCAAACATTGATGCATATATAAAAGATTGTTCCAAGTTACGAAAACAAAAGATGCAGGAAATAGTCGGTTGTTATTATTACTTGAAAACTGAATATAATAGGCGAAACGTTTCTTTAATATACAGTATCATTATTATCATTTTACATATCTTCCTTGTTTGAGGATTATAATTTCTTTTTTATTATATTTCTACGGCTATTACGTTATACATTCGATGATATTATCACGAATTTATGATTCGCAGTAATCCTATTTGCAGCGTAGACACGTGAAAAATTTACGAAGCGGAGAGTTTCTCGAGACTGATAATAAAGTTTGCATTCATCGATAATCAGAACTAACTGGATCAGATCTATTTCTAAACCGATCTGGCGAGATAACCGGCTTCAAGAGAGGCCCCAATGAATAACCAATAGTATCCGTTGTATCCCCGGTGTCGAGGGATGGGCTATCTAACAAGTGGTCCATTGTTATCCTACGCGGCTGAGGTTTCCGTCTCTCCCGTCTCTCATCTTCTTCCTCTGCTTCGTCTTTCTTCTTCCGGTACATGCACTACGACCGTGAATATTCCGAAGAAACCTCGAACCGTCGCAAATTTTTGAGCACGTTATGAAACGTTGCAACTCCAAAATTTATCGAAACCTATATGAAACATTCGATGCTGTCTTTACAACCATCACTATGAAATAGTCTATAGCAAACATCTAAGATCCTTTTTAAGAGATCTTTTAATTAGCCCTTCAAATTTGGGGAATTTAAAAGCATATATTTTAAATTTTATGAGAAGAAATTAAATCGCATTATTTTTCGCTTTCATTCATTTTTCAGTCGGACAGTTTTATGGAAAAATATAAGTCGTATATTTTGATAGAATGTTCTACATCAAGTAAATAGATATCGAACAAATTATATTTTTAAATAATTTTATCTTCGCAAAACATTATCATTACGATATTATCACCCATGGACAATTAAAAACGTTCTGGTATCTTTTAATCATCCTGTCAAATCGCAAGAACTTGAAAGTATATATAATATTTCGGTTAAAAAAAAATTAAATTTAAAATGACAATACTATGTTTGCTTTCGTTTATCTTTCAATTGTAAATTATATAACATAAAGTATATATTTTATATCGATAGCTTGTTATGATTTTCTACACCAAGCAAAGAGATATCGTAGATATATTTTTAAATAATTTTATCTTCGTAAAACTTTCGACATTATCTTTGCGATTATCACTTACGAAAAATCTAAGACGAACCTGATATCTTCCAATCAATCTTTCAAACCGCGAGGATTCATGAGCACCTGTTTATTCCTTCTATAAAAAAAAAAATTAAATTAGGAATAGCGTTATTAATGTTTGCGCTTTCGTTCGACCTTCAATTGTACAATCAGAAAAGCATATAAATTCTATATCAGCAACATTGTGATTTTCAAGCAGAAATATTGCATACAAATATTTCTAATTTTATCTTCATAAAATATTTGATATCATCTTCTTTGTATCTGCAAAAAAGTCAAATGAAACATTTAAGATACTCCTCTGGTACTCTCCGCAGTCATTAGAAAAAGATTAACAGTAAGTTAAACCGAGATTAAAGTTAATCTGCATTGGTGGAAACAGGCATTATACAAGAAAAGGAAAAGCTAAATTTCGAGTGACACTATTATTCTCATTTTGATTTGCTTTCCTGTCACACAATTATATGACGAATTCGTGTACGTATGGCGCGTGATTCTACGCACCGCTCTTGGTGCAGCTCTCCGCGAGAGCGGCCGACAGCGAATTCAATTAGGATTGCGGCGGCCGTGCAAAAACATTCGATCAGGAATAAACCGGCGCTGCCTGCCTGCCTGCCTGCTTGCGAACGCTCTTATAGCTCATCGCTTTCCAGTTCGCGAGCCCCTGTATAACGTGTATGGGATCGCAGATCAATTGTACGTTTTACCATTACGGACTCTTTCCGCGTGGCAGACATAGTGACTTACGAAAATAATCAAATCGTATTATTGGTAGGAATTTCTTTTGAAAATCGTGAATGAAGATATCTATAATAAGAGCATTGATATTTGCTTATTTATATGATATATTAATAATCAAACGGTTGTTTTTGTCCGATTACCTTCTTCATATTAATTGTAGATATTGTTGTGCAGTATATTTCATTCAGTTTTACTGTATTTCTGATTGTTTCAAAAATTTGCATGGCTATGCAAGCCTTTCATTAGACATGCCACTCTTGAGATGTAGATTCTTTAGTTAAAATTTTTACTGATTTTATCCTAACACACACAAGGATATTTTTACATTTTTTTGAAACTTATTATAGTTATGTGTGATAATATATGTAAATATTATATCATAAAATTTAATATATACTTTTAAGTTACACAAGTTCAATTAAAACTTCATAACATTACATTAAATTTGATGTATTTGTAACTGTATAATTTGTAAACGTATTCGTAAAAGTATAATTTGTGTACATGTACATGAAATTTAATGTATTATTCATAAAAGTTTATGAAACTTAATGTACTTTCCATAAAATTTTATGTGAATTTGTATATATTACATTTAAAACTATTGTAACTTAGTTTTCAATTAAACCATTTATTACT